ATAAACGACAAAAAAAGGTTGTTTTCATAAAATTCACTTTTGATAATTATATGACTTACAGTTAATTATCTAAACTAAATTGGTTGGAAAAATTGAAAAGTAAGAGCTAATTGACCTCGAGTGTTGGCCTTATAAAAAAAATAGAAGCAAGATAGAGTAACATAGGAAATAATAAAATAAATAATGTAAATATTTCATCTTAAAAAAGAAACTTATAAGAATGAAAAATTAAATATGCAAATTGATATCGATGAGGGTCATGGCATACATGTAAGTGTAAAATAGTGATACTAGAGTACACTTATTTAATAAAAATTGTATCTTTTGAATATGTATTTCTAAGTTAGATAAAAAGTTTGTAGGTAGGAATAAAAATCTCAAAATTTTAACTTTTTGAGAAATTTAATCATCAGTTTGTATGCTTTTTCTAAATTCTATCAAATTTTTCTTGATACATAAAATTTATACTGCTTTTTATTAAAAAAAAAAAACTTATTTCAAATCATGATTTTCAATAAAATATGAAATCATGATTTGAAATTAGTTGGTATACAGGAGTTCTCTCCCCTTATGGAATTTGCAATATAAGGGGAGGAATAATTAGTAATTATTAGTGAGTATCAAAAATTATTTTAGTTTTATGTATTTATTTTAAAAACCTTTATTCTACGTCTAATTACATATACCTATCCAAAGACTATCCATGATTCTGTTGTCGTCGTCATCATCATCATCATCATGTATTTGAGAAATTAACACTTATGGGACGCATTGCATTTGGAAATATTGAATAACCTACCTAACAAGTTTTAAAAAAAAATTTATAAGAAAGAAATACAAAATAACTAAAAATAATACAATATACTAAGTTTGCTTATTGTTCTCTCTTGAGGGAAGAATATAAAAATTTATATAAAAAATGTAAATTAAATAAATGATTAATAAAATAAGTGTCGATAAAAAATAAGTATTATAACAGTTTAGGTTTGAATATTACACTTGCATTTAAGTGTTTATTTTTTTAAATTAAAAGAAAGCTAGACGATTAATAAAATATTTAACTAATTTGATGTGAAATATTTGTACTTTATATTTTCTAAAAAATAGAATGACCCAAAAAGGAACCACCAAAAAAGGTGGACAGTTTAAGATTCAATTTTCGAATTTTAAAAAGATATACAATTTATTTTTTAGCCAATCAGGAGGGTGACTTCCACCAATGCAAATTTAAAATTTGAGTCCTACTAAAAAAATTTGCGCAGTAAAAAGCAGAAAGCAAAAGAAAACAGTTACCAAAACGGTACAAGTTGTAAAGATTTCAGAAGGAAAAGCAATTTTGGCAGTCACCAGTGAATGAATTCGTTTGTTTCTTGAAGACAGAGAAAAAGAAGAAGATGAAGACAGAGAGAAAAGAAAGAAAGAGAGAGAAAAGAAGAAGATGGAGAAAACAGAGATGAAGAAAGAGAAAAGAAGCAGATGAAGACAGAGAAAAAAAAAGCAGATGAAGAGAGAGAGAAAAAGAAGAAAAGATGAAGAAGAGAGAGAAAAAGAAGCAGATGAAGACAGAAAGAGAAAAGAAGCAGATGAAGACAGAAAGAGAAAAAAAAAGAAGCAGATGAAAACAGAGATGAAGAAAGAAGCAGATGAAGACAGAAAGAGAAAAGAACAGAGAAGACAGAAAAGAAAAAAGCCAGATGAAGACAGATGAAAACAGATGAAGAGAGAAAAAAAGCAGATGAAGACAGAGAGAAAAGAATGAAAACAGAAAGAGAAAAAAAGAAGGTGAAGACAGAGAGAGAAAAAAAGAAGAAAGATGAAAACAGAGAGAAAAAAGAAGCAGATGAAGACAAAAGAGAAAAAAGCAGAGAAAAAGAAGAAGACAGAGAAAAGAAGCAGAGAAAGAACAGAAAGAAGCAGATGAAGACAGAGAGAAAAAGAAGCAGATGAAGACAGAAAAGAAAAGAAGCAGATGAAGAGATGAAAAAAAGAAAAAGAGATGAAGACAGAAAAGAGAAAAAAAGAAGATGAAGACAGAAAAGAAAAAAAAAAAGAAAGAGAAAAAACAGATGAAGAGAAAGAAAAAAAGAAGCAGATGAAGACAGAAAGAGAGAGAAAAGAAGTCCTCGTAGAAGAAAAGTGAAGACAGAGAGAGAGAAAAGAAGCAGATGAAGACAGAAAGAGAGAAAATGAAGACAGAAAGAGAAAAAGAAGCAGATGAAAGAAGACAGATGAAGAGAAAGAAGAAGAGCAGATGAAGACAAAAGAAAGAAAGAAAAGAAGAAGATGAAGAAAGAGAGAAAAAGAAGCAGATGAAAACAGAGATGAAGAAAAGAAGCAGGTGAAGACAGAAGAGAAAAGAAAAAAGAGAAAGAGAAAAAGAAAAGAGAAGAGAAAAAAAAAGAAAAAAGAAGACAGAGAGAAAATGAAGACATGAAAGAGAAAATGAAGACTGAAAGAGAAGACAGAAGAGAAGAAAAAAAGAGATGAAGACAGAAAAGAAAAAGAAAAAAGAAAAAAGCAGAAGAAAGAAGACAGATGAAAGAAAAGAAAAGATACAGATGAAGAAGAAAAGAAAAAGAGAGAAATGAGAGAAAAGAAAAAAAAAGAAAGAATGAAGACAGAAAGAGAGAAAAGAAGAAAAAAATGAAATGAAGACAGAAGAGAGAAAGAAGAAAGAGAAAGATGAAGACAGAAAGAAAACTCAGAGAGAGAAAGAGAAAAGAAAAAGAAGACAGAAAAAGAAAAGAATGAGAGTGAAAGAGAGAAAAAAGATGAAGGAGAGAAAAGAAAGAAAGAGAAAAGAAAAGAAGCAGATGAAGACAGAAAGAGAAAAAAAGAGAAGTTGAGAAGAAAAAGAAAAGAAAAGAGAAAAAAGAAAGACATGAAGAGAGAAAAAAGAAGAGATGAAGACAGAGAGAAGAAAAGAAAACAGATGAAGACAGAAAGAGAAAAGAAGCAGATGAAAGAAGCAGATGAAGAGAGAGAGAAAAAAAGAAGCAGATGAAAAGAGAGAAAAAGAGAAAAAAGAAAAGAATGTAAATGAAGATGAAGAGAAAAGAGAAAAAGAAACAGATGAAGAGAAGATGAAGAGAAAGAAAAAAGAAGCAGATGAAGACAGAAAGAGAAAAAGAAGCAGATGAAAAAGAGAAAAGAAGAAGAAAAAGAAAGAAAAAGAAGCAGATGAAGACAGAAAGAGAAAAGAAGAAAAAGAAGAGATGAAAGAAAAGAAGCAGAGAGAAAAAAAGAAGCAGATGAAGAAAAGAGAAAAAGAAAGAAAAATAAAGAAAACTGAATGAAAAGAGAGAGAGAAAAAGAAAATGAAGACAGAAAAGAGAGAGAAAAAAAAAAAGCAGATGAAGAGAGAAAAAAAAGAGTAAGATGAAGAGGGAAAAAAGAAAATGAAGACAAAAAGAAAAAAGAGAAAAGAAAAAAAGCAGATGAAATGAGAAGAGAAAAAGAAGACAAAAGAGAAAAACTGAAGATGAAGACAGAAAGAATGAAAAAGAAAAAAGCAAAATATGAAGACAGAAAAGAGAGAAAAAAGCAGAGATGAAAAACAGAAAAGAAGGAAAAGAAGGAAAAGAAAAAGCAGAAAAGAAAAAGAAGAAATGAATGAAAGAAAGAAAAAAAAGAAGATGAAGACAGAGAAAAGAAAATGAAGAAAGATCCCAGATGAAGAGAGAATAAGAAGAGAAAAGAAAGATAATAAAAAAGAGCAGAAAAGAAAAAAAGAAAAAGATGATGAAGACAGAAAGAAAAAAGAAAGAAGATGTAAAGAGAAATGAATGAAGATGAAATGAAAGAGAAAAAAAAGAAGATGAAGACAGAAGAAGAGAAAGAAGAAAAAAAAGAAAAGAAAGAGAGAAAAAAGAAAGAGAAAAAGAAAGATGAAACAGAAAGAGAAAAAGAAGTGAAGACAGAAAGAAAAAAAAGAAAGACAGAAAGAAAAAAAAAATGAAGAGAGAGAAAAAAGAATGAAGACAGAAGAAAGAGAGAGAAAAGAAAGAAAAAAGAAAGAAATGAAAACTGAAAAGATGAGAAGAAGAAAAAAGCAGATGAAGACAGAAAGAGAAAAGAAGAGATGAAGAAAAGAGAAAAAAGTGTAAAAGGAAAAAGAAAAAAAGATGATGAAGAAAAAAAGAAAAGAAAAAGAAAAGAGAGAGAGAGAGAAAAAGAAGAGATGAAGAGAGAAAGAAAAAAGCAGATGAAGACAGAAAGAAAAAAATCAGAGAGAAAAAGAAGTGAAGACAGAAAGCTGAAAAAAAAAGAGAAGAAAAGAATGAAAAAAAGAAAAAAAAAAAAAAAGAAGATGAAGAAAGAAAAAAAGAAATGAAAAGAGAAAGAATGAAGAAAAAAGAAAAAAAAGAAAAAGAATGAAGAAAAGAAAGAGAGAGAAAAAGAAAAGATGAAGAGGAAAAAAGAAAAAAAAAAAGAAAGAAGAAAAGAAGAACAAGAGAAAAAGAAGAAAAAGAAAAGAAGCAGATGAAGAAAGAAAAAAGAAAAAGAAAAAAGAAAAGAGAAAGAAAAAAAGAAAAGAAGAGAGAAGAAAGAAGAAAAGAAATGAAAGTTGAAAAAGAAAAAAGAAAGAGAAAAGAAAAAGAAAAGAAAACAGAGAAAGAAGAAAAAAAGAAGAACAGACGAAAAAGAAAGATTGAAGACAGAAAAAGAAAGAAAAAGAAAAAAAAAAGAAAGAAGATGAAAAAAAAGAAAAAAAAAAAAGAAAAAAAAGATGAAAACAGAGAAATGAGAAAAAAAGAAAAAGAAACCTGAAGAAAGAGAGAGAAAAAGAAAGCAGAGAGATGAAGAAAAGAAGAGAAAAAAAGCAGATGAAGACAGAGAAGAGAAAAAAAAGAAAAAGTGAAGAGAGAGAGAAAAAGAAAAAAGCAGATGAAAAGAGAAAGAGAAAAAAAGAAGAAGAAAGAAGACATAAAGAAAAAGAAAGAGATGATGACAAGAAGAGAGAAAAAAAAATGAAGACAGAAAAAAAGAAGAGAAAAAAATTAAAAGACAGAGAGAAGAAAGAAAAGTGAATGAAGAAGAGAAGAAGCAGATGAAGAGAAAAAGAAGCAGATGATGAAGAGAGAAAAGAGAAAAAAAGAAAGATGAAGAAAAAAGAAAAGAAAGAGAGAAAGAGAAAAGAAAAGATGAAGAAGAAAAGAGAGAAAAAAAAAAGAAAAGAAATGAAAAAGAAAATAAGAAAGAAAAAAAAAGAAGATGAAGAGAAAAGAAGAAATGAAGAAGAAAGAAAAGAGAAGAAAGAAAAAAGAAGATGAAGAAAGAAGAAGAAGAAGAAAAAAAAGAAAATAAATGAAAGAAAAAAATGAAGACAGAAGTGAAAGATGAAAAAGAAGCAATGAACAAAAGAAAGATGAAGAGAAAGAAAAAGAAGCAGATGAAGAAGAGAGAAAAATGAAATGAAGACAGAGAGAAAAAAAGGAAATGATGAAAAAGGTAGAGAAAGAGAGAAAAGAAAGAAGACAGATGAAAGAACAGATGAAAAGAGAAAAAAGCAGATGAAGACAGAGAAAAGAAGCAGATGAAGACAGAAAAAAGAAAAAAGAGAGAAGAAAAAGCAGATGAAGAAGAAATGAATGAAACAGAGAAAAGAAAAAAGAAAAGAAGAAAGAGAAAAAAAAGAAGAAAGAAAGAAAAAGAAGAAGAGAAAAGAAAAAAGATGAAGACAGAAGAAAAAGAGAGGATGGAAAATAAGAGAGAAAAGAAAAAGAGAAAAAAATGAAGAAAAAAAGAAAGAAAAAGAGAAAAGAAGATGAAGAAGAGAGAAAAAAAGTATGAAAGAAAAGAAAAGAGAAAATATGAAAAGGAAAAAATGATAGATGAAAGAGAAAAAAGAGAAAAAAAAAGCAGATGAAGAAAGATAAGAAATGAAGAAAAAAAAGCAGAGATGAAGAGAGAAAAAGAGAGAAAAAAAAAGCAGATGAAGACAGAAAAGAAAGAAGTGAAGCAGAAAAAGATGAAGAAAAAAAAGGAAGATGAAGACAGAGAGAAAAAAGAAATGAAGAGAAGTGAAGAAAAGAAAAAAAAAAGAATGAAAGAGAAAAGAGAGGAAGAAGAAAATCAGGAAAAAGAAAGATGAAGAAAAAGAAAAGAAGAAGATGAAGAAAAAAACAGAAAAGAAAGAAAAAAAAAAAGACAGAGATGAAACATGGAAGGAAAAAAGAAGAAGATCTAGAGAGAAAAAGATGAAGACAGAAAAGAGAAGAAAAAAAGAGTTATGAAAAAAGAAAATGAAAAGAAAAAAGAGAAGAGAGAAAAAAAAGCAGATGAAGACAGAAGAGAAAAAAAAAAAAGCAGATGAAGAAAGAGAGAAAAAAAAGAAAAGAAAATGAAAAGAAAGAAGAGAAAAAAAAGCAGATGAAGGATGAAGAAAAGAAGAAGAAAAAAAAGGTAAAGAGAAAAAAAAGTCCTCAGAGATGAAGATGAAGAAAAAAAAAAATGAAGAGAGAGAAAAAACAGATGAAAAAGAAGAGAAAAAAAGCAGAAAGAAGAAAAGAAAAAAAGAAGATGAAAAGAGAAGCAGAAAGAAAAGAAAAAGAATGAAGAGAAAAAAAAGAAGATGAAGACAGAAAAAAACAGAGAGAAAAGAAGAACAGAAAAAAGAAGGAAGGAAAAAATGAAAAGAGAAAAAGAAAGAAAGAGTTCTGAAGTAAAAGAAAAAAAAAAAAAAGATGAAGAAAGAAGAAAAGAAAATGAAAAGAAGAAAGAAGAAAGGAAAAGCAGATGAAAAGAGAGAAAAAAGAATATAGATGAAAAAGATGAAGAAGAAAAAAAGAAGAAGATGAAAGAAGAAAGGAAGCAAGAAGAAGAGAGAAAAAAAAAGAGAAAAGATGAAGAAAGAAAAAAGCAGATGAAGACAGAAAGAGAAAAGAAGAAAAAAGAGAAAAAAAAAAAAAGAAGTCCTGAAGACAAAAAAAAAAAAAAAAAAGAAGACAGAAGAAAAAAAGAAAATGTAAAGAGAAAAGAAAAAAAAAGAAAAGAATGAAGAAGAAGAAAATCTGAAGAAGATGAAGAGGAAGAAGATGAAAAAAGAAAGAGAAGAAAAGAAAAGAAGAGATGAAAAAAAAGATATGAAAATGAAGGAGGAGAAAAAAACAGATGAAGAAAGAGAAAAGAAAAAGAAGAGAAAAAGAAAGATGAAGACAGAAATAAAAAAAAAAAAAAAAAAGTGAAAAGAAAAAGAGAAAAAGAAAGAAGAAAGAGAAAAAAGCAGATGAAGAAGAAAGAGAAAAATATGAAAATGAAAGAGAGAAAAAGAAAGAAAACAGAGAAAAGAAGGAAAAAGAAAGAAAAGAAAAAGAGAAAAGAAGTTTTAAAAGAGAAAAAAAATGAAGAAGGTTGCAGATGAAAAAAAAAAAAAAAAAAGACAGATGAAAACAGAAAAAGAGAGAAAAAAAAGAAAGAGAGAAAAAGAAAATGAAGAGAGAAAGACAAAAAAGAAGAGAATCTCTTCTGAGATGAAGACAGAGAGAAAAGAAAAGATGAAGACAGAAAGAGAAAAAAGAAGAAAAGAAAGAAAGAAGAAAAAGAAGAATGAAGACAGAAAGAGAAAAAAGAAAGAGATGAAGAAAAAAGAAAGAGAAGATGAAGAAAGAGAGAAAAAAAAATGAAGCAGGAAGAAAAGAGAAAAAATGCAATGAGAAGAGAAAAAAAGCAGATGAAGAGAAAAGAATAAAAAAAAAAAAGCAGATGAAGAAGAAGAAAAAAGAAAGAAAAAAATGAAGATGAAGAAAGAAAAAAAGAAGTGAAATGAAGAGAAAAGAAAAAAGAAAGAAGAGAGAAAAAGAAATGAAAAAGAAATGAAAGAAAGATGAAAAAGAAAAAAAAAGATGAAAGAAGAAAAGAAAAGATGCAGATGAAGAAGAAAGAAAAAAAATGAAAAAAAGAAAGAGATGAAAAAAAGAAAAGAAAAGAGAAAAAGAATGAAAGAACAGAGAAAAGACAGAAAAAAAGAAGAAGGAAAAAAGATGAAATGAAAAGAAAAAGAAGGATGAAGAGAGAAAAGAAAAAATGAAGACAGAGAATGAAGGAAAGAAAGAGAAAAAGAGAAATGAAGAGAGAAAAAGAAAAAAGAAAAAGCAGATGAAAAAGAAGAAATGAAGACAAAAAAGAAGCAAGATGAAGATAAAGAGAGAAAAAGAAAATGAAGAAAGAGAGAAAAAAAAGATTTAAAAAAAAAAAGATGAAGACAGAAAGAGAAAAAAGCAGAATGAAAGAGAAAAAAAGAAAGATGAAAGAAAGAGAAAAAAAGAAAGAGAAAAGAAGCAGATGAAAAAGATGAGAAAGAAAAAAAGAGAAGACAGAGATGAAAGAGAAGAAAAAAAAGATGAAGAGAAAAAAAAAAAAATGAAGACAGAAAAGAAAAAAAAAGAGATGAAACAGAGAGAAAAAAGAGATGAAGGAAGAGAAAAGAAGCAGATGATGAAGAGAAAAAAAAAAATGAAGACAGAAAGAAAAGAAGCAGATGAAGAAAAGAAAAGAGAGAAAAAAGTTGAAATGAAAGAGAAAAGAAACAGAGAAAATAAGAGAGAAAAGAGAAAAAAAAGCAGATGAAGACAAGAAAAAAAAGATGAAGAAGAGAGAAAAAAAGATGAAGATGAAGAAAAGAAGAAATGAAGAAAAAAAAGATAAAAGAAAAAAAAAGAATGAAAAAGAGAAAAAAATGAAGACAGAAAGAAGAAAAAAAGCAGATGAAGACAGAAAAGAAAAAGAAGCAGATGAAAGAGAAAAAGATGAGAGAAAGAGAAAAAAAGGTAAGAAAGCTGAAAAAACAGAGAAAGAGAGAAAAGAAGAAGACAGAAAGAGAAAAAGATGCAAGAGAAAGAGAAAAAAGATGAAGAAGAGAGAAAATGAAAAAAAAATGAGAGAGAAAAAAGAGAAAGATAGAAGAGAAAAGAAAATGAAGAGAGAGAAAGAAGAAGACAGATGAAAAAGACAGAGAGAGAAAAAAAGAAGCAGATGAAGACAGAGAAAGAAAAAGAAAGATGAAGAACAGAGAAGAGAGAAAAAGAAGAAGGAAGAAGACAGAGAGAAACAGGAGAAAAAAACAGAAAGAGAAAAAGAAGCAGATGAAGACAGAAAGAGAAAAAGAAGCAGATGAAGACAGAGAGAGAAAAAGAAGCAGATGAAGACAGAGAGAAAAAAGAAGCAGATGAAGACAGAGAAAAAGAAGCAGATGAAGACAGAAAGAGAAAAAGAAGCAGATGAAGACAGAGAGAGAAAAAGAAGCAGATGAAGACAGAGAGAGAAAAAGAAGAAAAGAAGCACTATCTGTTTTGAAAGAATGTGTATTTTGAGCCATTTTTTTTAAAAAAGGAATTGTACCATACCTTCAAGATTTTTTGATTATTGAAAGTTTGTTGAATAATTTATATCTTTTTTATTAGCCATATTTCTATTTCTTGAATTGGTTATCTTGCCTTTAATAAGGTGCACAAAAGGAAAATTTTGTGCAAACTTATTTGTAAGCCATGTATTCTGTTCTATTGTTTTTATGCTAATGTAATGTTTGTTTCTTTCAAGTTTCACATTGGAGATTTAAGTTGTTTGTTTAAAATAAATAAGTTGCCTGTAGCAAGTACAATCTAAGCATCTTTTACTTACCACAACATCCACTGATTATGTTGCTGGATATTTTGTTTTTGTGCCAAAGCATAATTAATTACAAGAATTTGACTCTTTTAAAATCAGTAGGGCTTAAATTCTGGTTGCAGCTGTGGATACCACTTCTGAATTAATACCCATGAGAAAAGCATGAACACAACTCTCCATGAAACCTATCTTATTAACAGTCATCATGAGTATACTCTTGTCATTAGCAAAGCAAATAGAGAAGAAATAATAGTTCAACCCTAAATCAGTTCTACTTATCCTATAATCATCAAAATTACCCTTATAGACTAATTTTTAATGCCAGGGTCAAGACATTTGGCTGCCTTAAGATGCATACAAGCAAGCAAACAGCTTAAGTGATTTATTTTAGTCAGGACAAGCGGTGATTATGGCAATATAAAAATTCAAGTTCTACACAATCAATGGTTTAAAATTAACAATATTCTCAATAAGAGGTCTAGAATTAATAATTTTTTGTGGGGCAATCTCAAACGAAGTCATAGAATTTAAAGCAGAAAAGTTACATATATATATATATATATATATATATATATATATATATTACACGCGCACACACACACACACACACACACAAATGCAACAAAAAGGATTGGCCTTTATCTAAATACAGCTGGTGATGACTTTGTTTCTCCATTCACTGGCCAAAACACACCAGAAGAAAAATCAATAAATGACTTGGTTAGAAATTCACTTAATTTAAATTTCAGATGAGGATATTCCTGAATGAAGCTAATTAAAGCAAATGAATTATTTTGATTTTATTCCCATCATTATCAACAGCATCTACACACCTGACAGGTAAGAAACAGGTGAAAGGAGGGAAAATGATTTAAATGAGAAAAAAAAAAGAAGCTTTTGAAGTGTAAAGGTAGGTTAAAATGGGTTAGAATCAATACCAAAATTAATGTTAGAGAGTATAATGAAAAGTATCAGGACCCTGAACAAAACCTGCTTGGGAAATGGCATGTTCTGATTTGAATGTCAATACTAAAATAATTACTGTCCTTATGACAAGCATAAGTTGGACAATAGGGTACAGGTCCCAATTTCTAAGGACTCAAAGCACAGGTAAATAAAAATAGAAAAAAATAGATTTCAGAGTTAACAATGAATGAACATTTGTGTTTGATGTATTGTCAAATTTTAAGAAGGAGATGTATGTGATAGGATTTGAGACATTTTGTTACACTTGATATCAAAATATATGATACACCAATATTATCAGCAGTAATACTCATACAGAAAGGAGGCATAGAGAATCTGATACTCACAGGACATATTGAAGGCAAGAATGACAAAGGAAAGAAATGAGTAACCGACCTAACATGCTTGTGTAAATGGATGGTAGAACAGGGACTGGAAGGGATAGTGAAAAGACAATGAGCTACAAAGGGTAGGAAGTCGTGGAGAGCCATGATCGCCCATGTCCAGAAAGTATATGGCATATAGAAGAAGATTCGTATAGATAGCCCGATGGCTTAGCTTTGTCTTTATTTTTTTTTACACAGATTTTTGTTGCATATGCAGTTGAATGTCAGTTAAAGATTGTTATAGTCCAGAATGATGATGATGATGATATTTCATCATTCTAAAAATAAACTTGTCATCAGTGATAATAGAAAAGAAGGATATATCATCATCCTAACCTTCGTGATTATAAAAAAAAACCTTTCCACCATGTGGTGGGACAAGTAGCAGTAGCAGTACAAAAACACACGTCTAGCCAGCACTCTGTGAAGATCAAAAACAGACGATTTCATACACCATCCTCACAAACAAAATTCTCAGAACCAAACCAAGTAAGCACTGACTTTTAAACAAAAGAAACACTGAGAAAATTTTTACAAGCACCATACCAATATTTTGTAATTCACATCACAAAAAAAGAAAATAAAAATTCTTGTTATTTATGTCAACATGAATCTCAAGTTTTTATTGTTGTTATCGTATGTTTTATACATTTTAATTTCTGTCATTAATATCAACCCCGTTACAAGATGATGAGAGTTCAGGGTAACAAAAAAGGAGCACTGCTCTTCTACATTTCACAGTTTCCTCCTTTATTCTTATCTTTGTAAATATGCAGACACATTTTTTTTATTTTATAGCAATTTATTTAAGTTTTTTTTTTTTTGGAGGGGGGAGCTGGCCTTTTCATTTTATGTAAGAAACTTTAAAATGAGGAATTATCATTATTATATGCTTTGAAATTAGGACCAGCATGCTCATCTTGGTTATACTCACAATATTTCAGCCAATGCACTCTCTGGCCTTCTCCAGGTGTCTGGCTTTATACTCAGTAACATTCTTGAAATATTTAGCCAAGCACTATTCAATCCATGGGGTTTTCATGCCACTTTTCAAGATTAGGGAAGATCACTCATATCAGTTAATATTCACCATTGTGTCACTTGTCTGTTTCTTCAACTGAAACAGAGCATGTGTATTTTCAGCAACTACCAGAAACAGAGATTGAACTCACAACTGCCAGAGATTTAGATATGTTTTAAAAACCAAGGTGAGCATGCTGGTCTGAATATCAAAGCATATAATGCTAATTTCTCATCACAAAAATTTCCAACAAAAGTTACAACTGAAAAGAGTTAAGGAATCTGCTAAGTGATACGCATCTGAAAGATTTCCTATATTACCTCGTATAGTAAGAGTGAGTGCATGTTGTATATTTTTTTTTTATATATTCATCAACATATTTTTTTTTATCAAGCATTCTACTAGATTGGCTATTAGGTCTCATCATTTAACTGTTGGAATAACTAGATGTAACTGTAAGTTCTATTCTGATAGTTTCTTTTCTTACACTTTTCACCAATGGAACTCTTTTCTGATTTCTTGCTTCCTTATAGAATACAGAGCAATATAATATACATCAAGGAAAAGCTTAACATATCACGAAAACATGATTATAAATCATGATTTATTTCAACAAACCCAAAATATAAAATTGGATATTTTTGGTCTGATGAGACTTACTTGCCAAAATAAATCATGATTTATAACCGTGTTTTTGAAGTATGTTAAGCTTTTCCTTGATGTGTATAAACACACACACACACTTGTTATATGCATGGAACACTGAGTGAAAACAAGCAGTGAGAGACAAATATATAATAATTCTTATTATAAATTTTACCTCTGTTATTTTATGACATTCACTGTTTTATTATTACTACCAGCACTCACTGAGCACTATTTTATATTATATATATATATATATATATATATATATATATATATATATCCCTGAAAATAAAAAAATACCCTAGTGACATCACATGGTTCTTGAAAATGACTGAGACAGTTGAAAATACTTGAACAAAACATCACAAACATGAGCTTTGACCAGTTTATCCAGAACACTGAAAATTGGAAAAATACAATAAAATTTAAACAGACAATCCTTGTTAGTTCTTTTTAATCAAACTTGCTTTTAGATGATACTTTTGATTATATATATATATATATATATATATATATATATATATATATATATATATATATATATTTATATATATATATATATATATATATATATATATATATATATTATATTATATATATATATATATATATATATATATATATATATATATATATATATATATATATATATATATATATATATATTCAGATAAAATAAGAGCAAAATGGAGTATAATTCCACTGCCCGTAACATTTGATTTAAAATAGGGCTAAGTACTGAGTAGCGCTAAATATTTTTTATTTTAGGATATTAAAACAAAAACATGTTAAAAAATCTCTACACAATTGCAATTATGTTTCAACACTACAAATGTGTCTCCTCAGGTGATGGTAAACTACTTGACTCACCAGTAGTTTATCATTCCCCAAGGAGACACATTTGTAGTGTTGAAACATAATTGCAATTGTAATTCTAATCACTTGGCTATGTGCAACTGTGTGAGTGTGTGTTCAATAAGATAAATGAGATGTTGACTGCAATAACATATTTTGTGGCATAGAAATGCAATTTTTGTCTCAATAAAATTTATAAAAATTTACCTTACATCCTAAATCCCAAAAATCACATTTATTTTATTTTATCCAATTTTATTCCTATTCTTTTTTGTTTTCCTTTTTAAAAAAACAATTGATGCCAGAAAATAGGGTAATTAATTTTTGATGATAATGAATTTTCTCTAATTATTGTTTATTTTTTAATCATTTCACCGCAAGCAAGGCAATAAAGCCACTAAGATGCAAAGGGTTACTGAGTGTGAAAGAATATGAGAAAAAGAAAAAAACATTATTAAGACGAGAGAACAATAAAGGAACAGGAATTAAGAAGACGAAGCATTTCAGGCTCAATCATTTCACCCCAAGCAGGGCAATAAAGTCACTAAGGCAGAAATTGTTATTAAGTGTGAAAGAATATGAGAGAAAAAAAAAACTTTATTAAGGAAAGAGAACAAGTAAATAACAAGAATTAAGAAAAAAAAAAGATGACAATTGTTATTGCATTCAAATATTTCATTTATTCAGTTTTCTCAGACTAAAACTATCATAACACTAAAACATTTTTTTATTCTTTAGAAATAATAGATCAAAATCAAAATTTAGGAAAGAAAATATTAGTAGTTAAAGATTGCCATGACATT